TGCTGCATGCAGGCGGGGTTTCCGGCCAACCCCGGGGGCATTTGTGCCGCAGTTTTTCGCTGCCCAGAAGGACGAAGAGGTCGGACGCGGGGAAAAATCAGTAGCAACGTCGGATCTCAATACCCGCCGCCGTGCTATCCCCCCTGTGCGCCCGCGGTAACCAGTGCGGGCACAGAAGATGGAGGGCGCGGGGGGCTGGAGCCGGAGGCGGGAGGCGGGTGAGGCTGCGGACTAGTGGCCTTGCTTATGTCTTCTCTTGGCGTCTTATGGCCTCTATTTTTTTTTTTATTTCTTTTCGCCCCTCCTCTCTACCACTTCCGCCCTGCTGGAGCACACGAGGCCCGCATGGGCGGCGTGCCCGGCCGAGGGGAGGGGACGGGGGCAGGGAGAAAGCAAGGCAGGAGGAAGGAGAGGAGGAGGTGGAGACGGGTGGGAGGTAGGAGGAGGACGGGCGAGGAGGAGGAGGACCAGAAGGAGGAGGAAGAGGAGCGCGGCTACGGTGCACAAGACCGCTGCGTGGCCGCCAGTGCGTGAGGAAGAGGACTGAGAGGAGGTGGGGGAGGGGGAGGAGGTGAGGAGGAGGAGGAGGAGGAAGAGGAGGCGGAGGAGCACGAGGAGGAGGAGGAGGAGGAGGAGGTGTTTGCGAAGGAGGAGGCGTCGGAGTGGAGGAGGAGGAGGAGGAGGAGAAGGAGCAGGAGAGGGAAGACGAGCGAGACGGGCGGCAAGTGCATGAGAGGGGGAAGGACGAGAGCGGGGAGGCAGCGGAGGGGAGGCAGAGGACGAGGAGGAGCTCGGAGAGCAACATGACTCGCAGGAGGAAGCAGGGGGGGGGTGGAGGAGCACCGCGCCGCGTCGCCGATGCGTCCGCAGTGCGGTGCGACGTTCTGGCCCCAGTGGGGCGGCCCCTCCCGCAGGGGAAGAGCGCAGAGGGGATAGAAAGATAGAAAACCCGCCACTTCCTTCGCCTCCTCCTCCTCCTCGCCCTTCTCCTCCTCCTAGTCCTCCTCCTCCTCCTCCTCCCTTTCCTCCTCCTCCTCCTCTCCTCCTCCTCCTCCTTCTCCTCCTCCTCCTCCTACTCCTCCTCCCTCCCTTCCTCCCCCTCCTCCCCTCCCTCCTCCTCCTTTCTCCTCCTCCTCCTCCTCACTCCTCCTCCCCTCTCCTCTCTCTCCTCCTCTCCTCCTCCTCTCTCCTCCCATCCTCCCCCTCGTCCCCTCCTCGCGCGGCGCGGAGTGCAGGGAAGGCGCCGGGCGGCCCATGGGGGAGAGGTCGCTGGTCGGGCCCGGGTCTCGGGCCGGGGGGGGGAGGGGGGGCGGCCGCCCTGCGAGAGGGCAGGAGGCCCGAGGAGCCAGGAGGCGCGCTGCGAGATCGGCTCCTCGGGCGGTTGCTCGCGGAGGGGGAGGAGGAGGAGGAGGAGGAGGAGGAGGAGGAGGAGGTCGGAGAGGAGGGGAGGAAGGGACGAGAGGAGGAGGAGGAGGAGGGAGGAGAGGTGAGGAGGAGGAGGAGAGGAGGAGGAGGAGGAGGAGGTAGAGGAGGGAGGAGGGAGGGGGTGGAGAGAAGGGGGGAGGAGGAGGAGGAGGCGGAGGATGAGGAGTAGGGAGGAGGAGGTGAGGAGGCGGAGGAGGAGGAGGTGACGAGGCGGAATGGAGGAGAGGAGGTAGGAGGAGGGGAGGAGGAGGAGGAGGAAGGAGAGGAGGAGGAGGAGGAGGAGGAGGAGGAGGTGAGGAGGGGAGGTGGAGGAGGAGGAGGAGGAGGAGGAGGAGGAGGAGGATCGGAGGATGGAGAGGAGGGGAGGAAGGAGGAGTGAGGAGGAGGTGAGGAGGAGTAGGGAATGGGGAGGGGGGGGGGGGAAGGGGGAGGAGGAGGATGGAGGAGTAGGAGGAGGAGGAGGAGGAGGAGGAGGAGGAGGAGGAGGAGGGAGGCGGAGGAGAGGAGGAGGAGGAGGCGGAGGAGAGGAGGCGAGGAGGAGGAGGGAGGAGGAGGAGGAGGGAAGGAGGAGGAGGATGGAGGAGGAGGAGGAGGAGGAGGAAGAGGAAGGAGGAGGAGGAGGAGGAGGAGGAGGAGGAGGAGGAGGAGGAGGAGGAGGAGGAAGAGGAGGAGGAGGAGGAGGAGGAGGGGGGGAAGAGGAGTTCAGGTCGGGGAGGGTCCTTCGGCGGTTGCTTCCCCAGACATTGTTTGATTCGCGGGTCGAGAGCGCACCTCTTCCGGTCGAAGCTGAGCGGGCCGCGCGAAGCTTGAATTTTAGCAAAGAGGGGGAGGAGGGGGGGAGAGCGCAGCCTCAGGGCGGGGCCGGGAGGAGGCAAAGCCTCGGGATCCGGCGGTGCCGAAATCGACGTGCTTGCAAAGGTGCGCCTATTTTGTTTTCTTCCCCAGACACGGTAGCGTCGTAAAAAACAGGACGGATGTTTGTCGCTGTCTTCGGCCTCTGGAGGCCCTCGCCGTGCCCCGGGACCGTCAAAGAACGACTCAGGATGAGACGCCGGTCCCGGGGAAGGGGTCGGGACTTGCGGGGACGCCGTCCTGAAACTATCAGGACGTCGCATGTCTGGGTCGGTCATTTTCCCCTCCTCCTTGTATTGTGGCACAGCACGCTACAGCAGTATCCCCGTTCAGTTCGCTCTCCGCCAGCGCAGCTACTCTGCCTGGCCGCCGACGCAAAAAGTGGGATCGAAGTCTGCACGTGGGGCCGTCGGTTCCTGGCGGTCGTCGGGGTGCTCGCCAGCAGCCGCGCCTCGCCGAGCGCGCTCCCGGGGGTGCCCGGCTCGTCCTGGACGGGCGCAGGGGGCCCAAGCTGGGAGCCGAGAGCCAGGCGAGGCGGAGCAGCAGGGGTGTTTGGGCGGGGCCAGGACGAGGATAATCAGGAGGGGAACAAAAACACAGACACAAGTAATCGTCGATCCCGGAGAAAACATGGGAAAACATGAGAATGGGGGGGCAGACGAAAACCCAGAAAATATTAGGAAATATGGGGTATCGTGTTGTTTGTGTGCATTTATTTGTGTGTCCAAGGGCCGCAGACAAATCCGCTCCAGAGCGTTCCGGAACGCCCTGGAACGCTCCGAGAGCGTTCCGGAGCGCTCTGCGACGGCGCCCGAGACGTCCTCCAGAGCCGCTGGATCTGAGAGGTTCCACAGCAGAAACATAAATTGTTGGCCTCCCGCGCGGATTTCTAGGATCTGGGGCCCCCCCCGCGGCGCCTGAGGCGCCGCCCTTGGCGCGCTCCGCGCGCCAGGGAGGGGTCCCAGTGCAGATCCAAGAAATCTGCGCGGACCGTTGTGGAAAGATTATGTTTGTACCGTTTTGTTTTTCTTCTATGGTCCTCACCCGACGTTATCCTCGTCGTGGCTCCGTCTTACACCAGCAGCGGCGTCCAAGGCTCTGTCGGCTCGGCGGCGTCGCAGTTGGTGGTGTTCCGTCGGAATGCTTCTCTGTGCCGCCCTTTCGCCGTGGCGCCCGCCCTTCTCCGTGCATCCTCCCCGCAATAATTCAATCGGGCATGTCACCCAACAGGAAGAGTGCTCAATCATAGTAAGGAAAACAGTATGTTGAGGATTTGTCGTGCTCTCTGTTGACTACTCTTGATGTTGCTCGACCATCATGTATCTTTCTTCCAAAATCCGCCTGCAGGAGGACATGCCCGACCTAACCCTGGCACTCTGCTGCACCCCCCGCCATCGCGATTTGGTCAAACGGCTATCCTGCGAGGGCGAAGGCGACGAGCAAGAAGAGGAGCGTTCGGGAGTCGGCTGTCGCTTGTCGCAGCTTCTTCGCGCTCGCCCGCCCTTCATCTCATCAAGGCTTGGTCCACACGCTGCCCTGTGAGGGGGAGGAGGGCGAGGGCGAGCAAGAATGAGAAGAGTTCGAGGGTCGACAGTCGACAGTCACTCTCTGAGAAGGAGGAGGAGGAGGAGGAGGAAGCGGAGGAGGAGGAGCCACGGACTAAGGAGGGGCGGGGCCGTCGTCACCGTCGGTCGACCCCCCGCCGTTCGTGGCCGCGTGCAGCGCGCCATCGGCGCCGCGGCCGCGGAGGCGCGCTGCCGCCACGCCCCGCGAGGGCGAACCCGCCTGGCACAGGCGTCGGCGGGTGAAGAGGGCCGCCGCGAGGACACTCCACCGCGTGCTGGACGCGGCCCCGGTCCTCAACGGCCACCATTCCAGGCAGCAGGCCACAGCCAGCGGGACGGCGACGAAATGCGCGGAAAGGCTGGCAGACTCCAGGGCGGCCAAGGGGTCCGAACGGACAGCCCCCTGGAAGTCCGAAGGGTCCGCGTCCGCAGGTAGGCGACGAAGAGGACCACCCGCTCGAGGACAGCCATGGCCCTGGCAGCACGACGGGCATCAGCAGTACCACTCCCAGCAGCACAAGCAGTACGACGACCAGTACAACACATAGAGTGGACATCGGCCAAAGAAGGATGGATGGAATGCAAGATGGAGATATGCATTGAGGGGACGCCAGCAACGCGAACAAGTCCTACTTCATCATATACGCCTCCACACCCGATGGGAAACGCACGCTTCGCGACATGCTCCTCACCAGCAAGACATACTCCGAACTGGGCATGACCATATCGATAACGCGATATGTCAAATTACTCGACGCCATGATTAATGGTCGCAACGACTTGACGCAGGAAGTGACGGCCCGGATCTTCACGCTAAAGAAGCAGCAGCTCTTTCACGTACAGCAATATTTAAGCGACAGGCTTTCACGAGGAAAGCCACGTTACACTTCCGGGAGTCTTGCGGATTTTCTCGGCTACCGTTCAACACAGGTGCGTGGCTTACGGGCAAAAAGACCGACGTTGACAAGATCAACGCAACCTACGCAGCCGCCATGAGAGAGGCGCAGGGGACCATCCACCACAATATGAAAGGGAACGCATCACGATCAACGAGATCATCGGCGAAGCAGGACTCCTGCTGCTCCCGCAACGGCAACGACGCGATCGGCTACGAGGAGCTTCGCGCATGCTTTTTTAAAGCCCCAGGGATCGCAAGCCATGTTGGACCACGACATCGACAATGCGGGACAGTGGAGCACCGCGTTCATCAACGACATGCCTGATATCTGCACCTACGCCGACCCCAAACATAGGACAACTTAACCTCGCGATATCCTCGGCTGGATCAAGATGGCCCGTGACGGTCCCACAAGTTTGAAAAGCATCGCCCCCCAATCATGCATAATATCGTTACATGAGACAGCCGAAGAAGCACAGCGAGCCAAATAGAGACGACCACTCGAAACGATCTACGTGGGCAAACACGTTCATCCATTGCTAAGAAATCCGAAGGCCGATTCAAACAACCAGCTCATGTGCTACAAGTGCAGAGCGACACTCAACGGGAAGGCGGCAGACCAGAAGCACATCAACGCGGTACATCGCCCCGCGAAAACACATCGCCAACAACACAGTTGGCACGGTGTGCAAAATCTGCCCGACCGAGCACTGGACCCCCAACCGATTCTTGAAACATATGAAGGCTACGCCCATATGCGCTAACTCGCGACTACACGAAGGGCCAACAAGGCGAAAGGGCTACCCGAGGACTGCGCTGAGAAGCCACGCGTGAAGCTACTAGGCTCCCCACGCGGACTGCCGAGGACCGACCCCGGCAGCAGCGCCGCAATGATGCCCGTTGTGGCGCCTGAGCAGGAAGCGCAAGGTCGCCGCGACAGCGAGAGCAATGACATCGCGCGACGCCACTCACAGACAAGCGAGACCCGTTCACGACCCGACACGACCGCCCACGCTTCCAAATACAAAGGGGTGTTCATATCCAGCAACGGCGCAAGGCATCACGTCAACAGGCAATCACAACTCGAACACCGAATAGAAGAAGCCATCATCCCAGCATGCATCGTCTCGGCCACGACCGACAACAACGTTAAACCCGAGGACGAAACAAGAATACCATCGAGAAACTATAACATTTGGTGGCTTCAAGCTATCAAGGCCGGAGACGTTGATGCTATCGGAGTACACATTACAACCGACACCACAGATACCGACAAGTTTGCACACGACGAGAGCCAGTCATGGGGAAAGAAACTTGCAGGCAGGATGACATAACAAAGAACCTACGACGACAACAAGAACATATGCGAAATCATCAGCATGGCTTGCGCTTGCGCCGCATAGCACACAATTCGTCATGGACGACAGCAACCTACGGCGACTCAAAGTAGCAATACTTGAGCACCTTGTCACCTCCAGAATGATGACGCGAACTGCTTAGGATATCACACATGTTGTTATCACAGCTACGGACAGACAGCCATGTATGACGGACATATCATGGACGATTGCGACAAGCGTCAACGGAGATCCAGCATTACTACAACAAGTACTACCAGTACTGCAACTTCGTGGATGCATACGGAAGCGACATGGATGAGCCCTCCCAGCAGACTTCTGCAGCCACAGCGCTAAGCGCCGAAGGGTGGCTGCATGCTGATCGCCACCGCAGCGCCGACGGCGCCGGAGGGCTGTCGGCCACATGAGGAGGATCCCAACAACAGTCAGGCGCCAGGGCACCTCGTCTTGGCCCAGGCCCATACGAGGTGCTCACGACGCGGCTCCACGGCAAGTCGCCGATGACGCCAGACGGCGACACCCAGTGCAAGAGCGACTGGTGCAAGGACGCCTCCATCGTCGGTGTTCCTGCCGACCCCTACGAACGGGGCGCGCGGGCGGCCGACGAAGGGGACGAGATACTCATCCTCAACTAAGAGGGGCAGGGCGGCCGCGGCCGCGTCCTGGAGGCCCTGGAGCTCCTTTCCCCGTCTTCGAGCCTTTCGGGCCCTTGTTGGCCCCTCCCTCTTTTCCCCCGCTGCTCTTCGGCCGCGCCCTAACTCCCGTCCTCCACGGGCCCCCGTCCTGTTTTCCCCTGGCCCCTGGTTGTGGCGCCGCCTGGTACCTAGCCTGGGCGTTTCTGTTTTTTGGGGCCCGTTGGACTGCAAGTTCTTGTGCGTTTGGGCCCCCGACCACCACCCCTTGCATCTTTCACGTGCTGGTGGTCCTCGCCACTATCGGGGTGGTGCTCGCGGGCCCAAGGACCCTTGGCTTCGGGTGGGCGTATCAGGGCTCACGCTCCACTCCTTCCCCAGGCCTTTCGGCCCCCGCCGACCCCCTTCCTTCGAGGCCCTTGGAGGCTCCCTTTTGTCTCTGCTTCCTGGCAGGGGGTCTCTCGGATCCTGCTTGGCCTTTTTGGTCCGTCTTTTCCGTGGCCTCCCGTGTCTCTCGGAGGTTTTTGTTTGGAGGGTCCTTGGAGGCCTTCGGAAGTAGTTCGGGCCGTGCGTCGCGCCGCGCGCGGCGCAGCGCGGCGCAGCGCGGCCCGCGGCGGAGAACCGCCCCTGCGCCCGCACTGCGCAAGAGGAGGAGGAGGAGGTGGAGGAGGAGGAGGAGGAGGAGGAGGAGGAGGAGCACCTTTCACTGCCACCTCCTCCTCCTCTTTTTAATTGGGCGCCTCGATGCGGCATCCGTGTTTCCGGAATGAGGAGGAAGATAAGAAGGAGGAATACAAGGAGGAGGAGGAGGAGGAGGAGGAGGAGGAGGAGGAGGTCGTTGGTCCCTCTCCCTCGCACCCTCTCCCCCGGCTCCCCCCCCCTCTCTCCCCGCGCTCCCGCGCCCAGGTGCAGGACAAGCGCCCGACCGACAAGCGCCCGGCCCGCGGGAAGAAGGGCCTCAGGCCTCCCCCCCTTGGGCGCCAGAGGGGTTCCAGGTGGGTGTGGCGAAGGGCTCGGGCCGCCCGGGCGCCCCCAAACAGGGTGGTGACCACACCGTGCGGTGAGTCGGTGGGGATTCGGGGTCACCGCACGGTTTTGGGACTCGGGTCGTTCTCCGAGGACGTCTCGGGCGAAAAGGGCCTCCGGGGTCCCAAGACCGTGCGGTGACGGACCGTGCGGCGACGTCTTGGGGGATTTCGAGGTCACCGCACGGTCTGTCACTGCACCGCTTCGGGACTCCAAATCGGGGATCGACCAGACGCAAAAGGAGAATGTGTTTGTTAACCCTCGAGGCCATAACGCGCGTGATGCCCCCTCCCCCCCCCCCCCTCCCCACCCCTTTAACGTAACGCTCCCCCCCTCAACGCGTCCCCGGCACTGCCGCAGTGCGCCTGGCACCACAGTCTGGGTGGGGGGGCGTGCGCTACGTGATGCCGCCTCCCTCCCCCCCTCCCCCCATAACGCCCGTTATGGCTGCGCGAGTAACACAAATGCGCTCAAGTGACCGTTCGCTGGAGTAACATTTGGTGCGCATCTATTGGGGTCTCTCGACCGCTGAATGCGATTAGATTGCAGCGGCTTGTGCGCGCTGGGGCTTGGCGCCCACGGCGCCCCCGTCAAGGCGCGCACCAAGGGGCAATCTTGCTTGGAGACACTCTGGTGAGTAGCTGAGAGGGTCGATGTCTGGTGACAGAGAATACTGGAGGCTTCGTGACTGTAAAATTGTGTATGGGCATCCGACAGTTTCATGGGCCTCCGCGGAAAGAAGGGCCTCGGGCTTATTCCCGCTCTTGTGCCAGGTGGACTCAGGAAGGAGGGCGTGAACGATCGAGGTTCGATGGTCGGAGTGATTCGACGTTCTAGAGTCACTCGGGGTATAATTATGCGGCTGCGTGCCCGCCGCTTGATGATCCTCTTCGACCCTCATCCCCCAGAGGAAGGTGGAACTCGGAAATTCTCCGCAACCCGAAAAGCGATGGGGCCAAACCCGAAATCCCGGGAGGGACGAAACCCGAAACCTCAGGAGGCCCAAACCCGAAACTCCAGAAGGCGCGAGATCCGACAAGCTGGGAGGGGGCCCACCTAGAAGCGCTGAGCATAGGATCTCGAAGGAGGCAGGGCGAGGTAGTAAGCGGCAGCGGGAGGTCGGAGGAGTGGGAGGGGGCAGGAGATAGTGGCAGGGACGAGGAGGCAGGACGAGCCAGGGTGCAGCTGGATGAGACAGGTGGACGCAGCAGGAGGTAAGGCAAGGCAAGGCAGACGGAGGCAGGCATGTGACCGAGGGCAGCGGAGAGTCAAGGGCATAAAAAACGCCCCTACCCTGGTTTACGAGGCGCTGTGCGCTGAAACTCCTGTGGGCTGCGGGGGGAAACCCTGCGTGATGTGCCGCGTCCTGGCGGCTCTATGCTTTGGGGGTTCCCAGGCGGTTTACAGACCCCGCACTTGTAACCCAGGGTAGGGTCGTTTTTGTTCATCCCTCAAGAGAGGGCAGTAGGGCGGTAAAAAGTCCACGCGGTAGTTGTTGTCAGGTCGTCGTCGTTGGTGCCCAGCCTGTCGTTGCCCCGTTGCGAATCGAGTAGACCGCATGCGACCCCTGCCATAGGGGCCTTCGGTGGAACTCCCCATGAGGCCACAAAAAGGTGTGGAGGTGTGCCGAAACTTGAATGGAACCGCATGCCAACCCTGCCACTGGGGCCTTCGGTGGAACTCCCTATGGGGCCACGGAACGTGTGCGGGGTGTGCCGAAATTGGGGGTGGAACCGCATGCGAACCCTGCTACTGAGGCCTTCGGTGGATCTTCCTATGAGGCCACGAAGCGTGTGCGGGGTGTGCCGAAATTGGGGTGGAACCGCATGCGAACCCTGCAACTGAGGCCTTCGGTGGAACTTCCCATGAGGCCACGAAACGTGTGCGGGTGTGCCGAAATTGGGGGTGGAACCGCATGCCAAACCTGCTACTGGGGCCTTCGGTGGCACTCCCTATGGGGCCACGGAACGTGTGAGGGGTGTGCCAAAATTGGGGGTGGAACCGCATGCGGACCCTGCCTCTGGGGCCTTCGGTGGAAGTTTCCTATGAGGCCACGAAGCGTGTGCGGGGTGTGCCGAAATTGGGGGTGGAACCGCATGCGAACCCTGCTACTGAGGCCTTCGGTGGAACTTCCTATGAGGCCGCCACGGAACGTTTGAGGGGTGTGCCGAAATTGGGGTGAAACCGCATGCGAACCTTGCTACTGAGGCCTTCGGTGGAGCCCCCTCTGGGGCCACGATGCGTGTGAGGGGTGTGCCGGAAGGGGGGTGGAACCGCATGCGGACCCTGCTGCTGGGGCCTTCGGTGGAGCTCCCTACGGGGCCACGATGCGTGTGAGGTGTGCAAGGGATGGGAGGAGCGGAAGGAGGGGTCAGGAGGAGAGGGAGGAGGAGGAAGGACGGAAGGAAGGAGCGACGCGGGGCGCTGTCTCTTCAAAACGAGGACACAGCACCACAGGGTGGGTGGACACAAAACAACTCTTGCGCAGAGTATCCTCCTTCCTGTTGCGACCAGAAGTGCGCAGACACGACTCTCCAGAGTCTGAAGTGGCCCTGGAGCTGCGGGTGCCTGCCGCAAGCAGCGTGCTCGCGGCACCCGCCGCCAGGGTCGTGTGCCAGGTCGACGGCAGGCCGGGGGGCAGCGAGAGGGCGCTCTTAGGAGGAGGAGCAGCATCAGATGCGAGCGAGGAGGAGCAGCAGCAGATGCGGAGGGGCACGAGCCTGTTTTTTGTTCACTCTGGGCGATGACGCTCGTGACCGCCCCCGCCCCTCCCCCCCCGCCCCCGCTCACATCACGCCGATTCCCCGCTCTGCTCCTCATCCTCCTCCTCCCGAGGGCCAGGCCCCCGGGGGCTCGAAATGAGCCCCTGGGGAGGCCGACGCCCCGCCGTGATGTGGTCGGGAAGGCCCCCCCCCCCTTAGTGGGCCCCGGAAACGGCAGGGCCGTTTTTGTCACCGTTTCCGAGAAAGTGTTCCTTGAAAATGGAAGCGGCAAACAAAACGGCGACCGGAAACGGCAAAAAAACGGCTCCAGGATGGGAACCGGAGCTGGAACCGGTCAAAACACGGCGACGGAACTGGTAAAAAACGGCGTCGGAACCGGCGAGAAAACGGCAAAACGGAACCCGTAAAAAAACGGCCCTGTCGTTTCCAGGGCCCACTAAGCCCCCCCCCCCATCACGCCCGTTCTCGCGGATCATATGAAAACAGGCTCCCAGGCAGGAGAGAGGGGCAGGGCCGGGGGGGGGGGGACCCGCCTCGGCAGCGTCAGCAGGCTGGAGCTCGCCCTCGACCGCTTCGCGCTGGACAAGGCGGCCAACGCGCCCAGCCTGCGCAGCCTGTCCTCGGCCATGAAGCTGGACATCGACTTCGTCGTGGAGGGGGGGGGGCTGCGCCGCTGCCGCCGCTGCCGCCGCTGCCGCCGTCACTCAGCCACGCGCAAAGGGGGTGGGGGAAGGGGGGAGGGCTTCTTAGAAGCACCCCTGCTTCTCAGAAGGCGCGGACCTTATCTACACATGTAAGGCCCGTAAGGCCGGCGCCTTCTAAGAAGCAGCCTTCTTCTAAGAAGCCCCCCCCCCTCCCCCCACCCCCCTGTGCGCGCCGCCAGGCCGCCGCGCGGCCGCCTGCGCTGCCGCCGCCGCCGCTGCCGCGTCTCTCGCCGCACGCTCTAGCGCGGGGGGTGCTCGCGATGGCGCCGCGCTGCCGCGCGCGGCCCCTCCTCGCGGAGCTGCCGGCGCCGCGGCTCCCGGGAGCCAGCCTTGAGTCGCGGCATGTCCCTCTGCAAGGGGAAGATTCCCAAGTAGTAAGTAAATTGTCTGGGGACGATCTTCTCATTGTCTCGTTCGCTTTTCGCTGTCGTCCTACAGTCGGGGCCCTGAAGAAGGAACCCTTTTCGTTGGGGAGGGGCTCCGCGTTCCTTGATTGCTTCACAGTTTGCCTCAGGTTTTCCTTAGGTTTTCCATGGGAAATCGAAGTTCAACCCATGGAAAAAAGGGGCCTCGTTCCTTATTTTGGGTTCCTCAGGTCAAGGCCCCGACTGTATTACTCTTCCTCCTCCTCGCCCATCCCCTCGCCGTGCCCGCCCCCCCTCTGCTGCGCCACCGGGCATGTGCTGCCACCTCGGGCCCGGCGGCACGGACGCCCTCTCTCCGCTGTTCGGCCTGCTATCGGCGGGGCCCGTCCGACTGCATCGCTATATGTGCAGTCGGCGCACCCAGGAAGGGCGCGCGCTTTCAGCTTGGGTCCCCTCCTCCTCCCCCTCCTCCTGCTCCTGCTCCTCCTCCTGCTCCTCCTCCTCCTCCTTCTCCTCCTCCTCCTCCGCCTCCTCATCCTCCTCCGCCTCCTCCTCCTCCTGCTCCTCCTCCTCCTCCTGGACCATCTGGCCCCGAAAAAAAACACGCGCGGCAGCGACGCATGCACGGGGGACGGCCGCCCGAGCGATGGCTGGCAGGGTTCCTTCCGGCCTCGAGGAGCTGCGGGCCGCTCCCTCGACTGCCCCTCAGAGACTCAGAGCGTGAATTACCTACCCCGCTTTCGCTTTCAGGCAAAACCAAGCCATACCACGCGCCTCCTCGTCAAGCGGCCTGACCAGTACAGGCTGCAATTTGGCATCGTTTGGTATCTCTTGGAAGCGAGGGTGGTCAAAAGCGAGGTAGGTTTGTTTTCCCCCTAGAGACTGCAGGGCAAGCGCGCCTAGCAAGGACGCGCGTCCCTGCCTTTGCGACCCGTCCTCTGCCGTGTTCGCTGGTCGCCCGCCGCCCCAAGAGATTGTCACGACTTCGGCCTCCGAGGGTCTTGCGTCCCTACCGCCCGTCCTCGATACATCAGGAGCGAAAGAAGGACGTACATGTACATGAATCCACGCTGGTTTCGAGAGCACGCATTGCACACATGTTCGTATAACGCGGCCGGTCTGGCGAATCGAGGGGCCGTGTTCATGTACATATTCTGGTCGCGTACGTCCTCTGTGGGCTCCCTAATACACGCTTCGATTGCAGTCACGAGATTGGCTCGGATGTATTGCCGCTCAAGCTTCCGTTTGTCTCTCGAGCCCGTTGTCAACACCAAGTGTTTCATGCAGGACATTTGTGTGCATTCATCTTATCGTGTCATCTCATCCTTCATGTCCCCCCTTCTCTCAGTGGAATGGAATGTCATCGGTTCAGCGGTTCTTGGCGGCTTGTTTCTTCCCCAGCGTGAGCATGCGGCATGGTCACGTTGAGGGCGCTTTTGCAAAGCCTGTTGGCATGCTGCATGCCAGCTGGCTTTGGCAACGGCTCCGCGGCGCTGCTTTGCCGAGCGCTTGCCTAGGGTATAGCAAGATGAGAATGAACCACACCACTGCGCTTGATGACGGCCCTGGTATGAGTGGGTGCGCGAAAGAGGCTGCGTGCGAGGAATGCAGCACAACGAGAGGCTGAGAAAGCAGGGTAGTGAGGATGAACGCGTCACTCTGCAAGATCTGGATAACGATCCTCCGGAGCTGCACCTGGTGGCGTCCAACGTCAACATGAGCGAGTGGGAGACCCTAAATTGGTTGACGTGGGTGTCGGAGCTCCGTGTCTTCTTCTCATGATCTCCGATGTCGTGTTGGTCTTGTTTGCGCATGTTTACAGTGTCCTACGTGTGTACGTGTATACGCGCGGATGTCCGTGCTTTGCCCGCTGTATGCGTGTGTACACATGCCTCTCTCTCTCTCTGTTCTCTCTTTCTCTCTCTTTGCATATATATATATATGTAGATGTATATATGTATACACATACACGTGCTATGTATATGTATACACATACACATGCGTGTATATGTGTATATGTGCATATATGTACACATGAAAACTGTATAACTACATAACGAACATCGGAGTAGGCCAGAAAGGGGAGGGGGGCGGACCACGGCCCTGGGTTGATACGGGGCCCAAGACGGCGTATTGGGGCCCAAGGGCTCACGGGCGGCTTCAGAGGCCTCCAGGACCAGCTCAAGACCACCAACATTACCCCGAGGGCGTTCAAAGACGCCCCAAAGTGGCGTCAACAAGGGCCAAGAGACCCCCAAGACGATAGGGCTCCAAGAGACATCCCAAGAGGGCCCCAGGAGGCAAAATCACAGAGTTTATGTTTGAAAACGGCTGTCTGGTTGATGACACCGTCTCAGACGGTCCAAGAGGAGCCCCAGGATGCTCCACTACCGTCTCCGAGGCCTCACACACGGCCCAACAGGGCCCCAGGACGGTCCAAAGGATGTCCAAGAGGGCTCAAGCAGGGTGATACGATGTGTTGTGGGGCACTCTTTGTGGGGGTCTGGGGGGGGGGGGGCTCCCAACATGCGCCCGCCACCTCCCTGCTCTCAAGAGGCCCCCAGAGGCCCCTGAGAGACAGCGGGAATGTCCCTTGAAATTGCCAACAGACCCCCACGAGGCCCAAGAGGCTCCCTAAATGCGTCCAAAGGCCTCCCAGGAGGTCTCCCGATAGGCCCCCAGCAGGAAGCGTATGGGAGGTCTCGCGTCAACGTCCTGCACGGCGTGGCCTGAGAGGCGTCCAGGGACCCCGAACCCACGACCCATCTTTACCACTTCAGGAGGCCCTTCAGAAACACGCCGCGAGGCCCCGAGAGGCACGCCACAGCTTATGAATTAAGTTCGACTTAAAGTGTATCTAGGATTCTAGTATTGCTGCACCAGTAATGCAGATAGTATGAATACTCTGAGTAGGCTACCACTACTGCCACTACTACCACCAAATCTGATGTTATACAAATAGGCCATACCACGGCGACTACTGCTACTGCGACCGTGATTGCGACTGATACTGCTGTACGACAACGAGTACGACGACTAATATTACGACGATTACGACGGGTGTTGCTACTGCTATTGTTACTGATATTGTTATGTTTATGTTCACTACTACTACCATTACTACTACTGCTATGACTACGACTGCTACCTCTACGACTACGACTGCTCGTAGTATTATGTTCATTGCGACTACTACGGCTATTACTACTACTACTTTTCCTACTACTACTTCTACGACTGCTACTGCTACTACTACTGCTACTACTATTACTACTACTACTACTACTACTACTACTACTACTACTACTACGACTACTACTAGTACTAGTACTAGTACTAGTACTGCTACCACTACTACTACTACTACTACTACTACTACTACTACTACTACTACTACTACTACTACTACGACAATATACTACTAGTGGTACTGCTAGTACTACTACTACTACCACTACCACTACTACCACTACTACTACCACTACTACTGCTACTACTACTGCTACTACTACGACTACTACTACCACTGCTACTAGTACATGTACTTCTGCTACAGCTACGACTAGTACTACTACTTCTCCTAGTATTACCACTACTACTACGACTACTGCTACTACGGCTGCTGCTATGACCACTACTATTAGTACGACGAGTACGATTACGATTGCTACGAGTACGTTTCTACTGCTACTCCCCCTGCTACTACTAACACTGCTACTCTACTACTACTACGACTACTGCTTCTCTTACGGCTACTACTGCTATCACTACGACTAATTTGACCATTACTATTACTACTACTACTACTACTACTACTACTACTGCTACTACTACTACTACTACGGCTACTACTATTACTACGACTACTACTACTACTACTACTACTACTACTACTACGATTACTACTACTACAAGCACGACTGCGATTAGGCTGACTTAGTATTACCTCTTTCACTTGGCTGATTATTACGACTACTGTTATTACCACTACGACTACGACTTCTAATTCTATTACGGTTGCTACTACTACTACTACTACTACTACTACTACTACTATTACTGCTGGCACTGCCACTACATCTACTACTACTACTACTACTACTACTACTACTACTACTACTACTACTACTGCTGCCACTACTACTGCCACTACTACTACTACTACTACTACTACTACTACTACTACTACTACTACGACTACGACTACGACTACTACTACTACTACTACTACTACTACTACTACTCCTACTACTACTACTACTACTACTAGTACTACTACTACTACTACTACTACTACTACTACTACTACTACTACTACTAGTACCCCTACTACGACTACTGGTACTACGACTACTAGGGCTACTGCCACTACTACGCTTACTACTACGACTACGACGACGACGACGACTACGGTTCAACATGCTGTGATGTTAAACATTGCTGTGACACGAGCCAGGGCCTCCATTCATTATACTTCGTTTGCGAAGTGATCAACCAGTGGCGCCTCTTTAAGTCACCGCCGCGCGGTCAGCAGCTGTCACGACGCTGCTACGCGGATGTGGGAAGAACGACGGCCGCGCCAGGAGGGCACGTGAGGGTTTCAACCATATGCTGTCATTTTGGCGTGACCGCCGTGCTGTCTCTGGCGCCACCGCATCGGCGGGCCTCGAGCTACCGGGTGGGGCCGTGTGCCGCTCCCTCAGTGGCATTGCCCGCTCCGCCTCCAGTCGGCCGCGCGCCCCGCCAGCGTCGCCCGAGGCGGCCCCTGGCAGTGCGCGCTCGGAGGTGCTTACCCGGCTCCGCCGGGGTCTTGTTCCTTGCGGCCTCTGCTCAGGAGGGAAAGAAACACACAGACACAATTCATCGGCGATTCCCCAGGAAAATATGGGGAAATACGGGAAGTGGGGGGGAAAACCAAAACGCAGAAAATATGGGAAGATATGGGGAATCCTTTTACTTAGGTGTATTTACTTGTGTGTCCCAGGGCCCCTTCATCTGCTGCTGGGCGCCCGCGCCTGGCCGGTTCCGCGGCCATGCGCCTCGCTGGCCCACAAGTTCTGTTGTTTTTGCGCCAGCCGGCGGCGGGCCGCCGTTCTCCGCCGCTGCCCCCCGCGGCGCCCGCAGGGGGGCGCCCTCGCCCCGCCTCGGCCTGTGGCGGGGCGTTCCCGCCACGCCCGGCTGCGCGCGCCAGCTGGGGCCGCTCCCCCTCGTCCCTTGGCATCGCTCGGACGTGTGCATTTTTCCCTTCGGCGAGGACCATCGAGGAGCATCCTTGATCATTTGGCGAAAAGGTCACGCACGAAACCAACAAGAACACAGGGAATGTGTGAAGAGTGCACTCCCCTGCCCCTCTGCCGCCCGTGCCACCGTGTGTGTATGATGTACACGCTTGTCTTGTTTTGTGGCATGCACGCTGCCCGCCGCTGTTTTGGCCCTAGTCCTAGGGCCCTGGGACGCACCCGCAGTTTTGACTGCCGCGCAGTCCGAGCTAAAAGAACTGCACTGACATTGGTAGCGGAGCTAGTAAGCTCCAGCGGACGCACTGCGTGCTCTGCTTCGGTGGTTGTGACCACCCGCGTGGGCCGCCATGGCCGCCAGCCAAGACGGCTCAGACGCGGAGGCTGCGTCCTCCGCTGGCACAGGTCCCCCGGACCTGCATGCGGTCCTGCGCGTGATGGCCGAGACACAGCGGGAGCTCTTGGCCTTGCATCGGGATCGTAGTGGCGACGGCGGTCCCAGACGTACACGTCTACTGCTGTCGCAGGTGAAGCTCCCAGAGTTCGATGGTGCAGTCGGTACGAGTACTAAGAAGTACCGAGAGTGGCGCAAGGAGGTTGAAGTCATCCGCAACCTCAACCAGCTCGCAGACGTGGAGCTGGGCCTGATCATCTACAGTCAAGTATCAGGTCGAGCCAAGGAGCTCATCGAGGTCCTTGATGCGTCGGACCTCCGACGCGAGGACACGCTCGAGACCATCTTTGCTATCTACGACGACGCCTTCGAGAAGATGGATCACGAACGCCTCGATCAGGTGCATCAGGAGTGGGAGCGAGCACACCGTCGAGCTGGGCAGCCCATCGTGGATTGGACAACGTACTTGCGCAAGAAGCGCATGGAGCTGCAGCTCGAGGATCCTACTTCAGCGATCAGCGATCGCGCGCTGGCAGGCAAGATGCTTCGAGGCGCTGGACTGTCGCAGAAGGAGCGAGCGCAGGTGCTCTTCAACTGTGGCGGCATCTACGACTCGAAGCGGATGGAGGTCGTGCTGAAGGCAGCCTACTCGAAGGTGCACGACACTGAGAAGCGCTCGGTGCTCCCTCGCCGCTCGCCGTTTGTGGCGCAGCGTGAGCACGGGCGCTCCTCTGGGAGCTCGGGCGGTCGCTATCCGCACCCTCCCATGGCTCGCAGGCCATGCGTGTTGCGAGGACGCTCTGGCCAGCACGTGCACGAGGTAGAGAACGGCGAAGACTACGATGAACACCACGGCGACCTGGAGGAGGCGCAGCACGACGAAGATGAAGCAGATGAACAGGACGATGGAGACCCCGGAGCTGGCGAGGGGATCATCTTCGAGGACGGCGCTGAGGTCGAAGAGGAGCTGGCGTCGGACAACGACGGGCCAGATGACGAGGAGTACGAGGCACCGGAGGATCTTCAGGAAGCGTTCTTGGCCGGCTGGAGGGCCAAGCAGAAGACGGCAGCACAGCGTCAGAAGCGCGGGTTCGTTGCCCCTCGGCAGCGGGACCCCAAGAAGATCA